GGAAATGTTCCGCCCCTTTGCAACCCTATACATGACGCACTAAACTTGTTTTTACGTCCATTATAACAGACCTGATTCCAGACACTACAGTCCAACAAGGGTCATTAATAATCATGCAGAAACTAAAGGGAAAGTTCGTCAACAAACAGTGAAAATCAATATTTACGACCGATGCACTGTCTGGACTTAAAGCATGAAATAAAGACAAGGAGGGGCTGTAGAGAGGAATTACAATTACTGATTATAGATTATATAAAAAGTGTTCAATTATATTAAATTTTAATGAACTCAGTTTTAACTAAAAGGCTCGTGGAGCTCACCGACTCCTCTGACTTTGAAATGTCTGAAAAAAGCAGAAAACTCAAAGTTTTTGTCCTGCTGATGGAAAAAAACCATGAATCTGAGTCACGTCTGTGTTTACATTTAGAGCATTGAGTGTGTTTGTTAAAAGTGTGTAAATGTGTGTGTCCGGGCTGAATTTAAACATCTGTATTCATATATAAACTTAAATAATAATTAATGATGTTTGATAAAACTCTGAATCTGTGCTTTATTGATGGTGTGTAATAATGACTCCATCTGGGTCTTGGTTTTTTGTCCTGTTAAGACTGAACTGCAGTTCTCCAAGTGTCCATTAGAGGCCGTCTCCTAAAGTGGGTCAGTCCCTATAGGTCCTCATGTTAAAACTTTACAGCAGGAATAAACACGTTTACAGACTGGTGCTGGGTCGGTTTTGGTCTCATTCATTTCTACTTTAATAATTCATGTGTTCATATCAGATTTCACCCTCCACTGCTATCAAGAGCCTCCCTTTCCTCCAAACGTCTGACTGCAGAAATCAAAGATGGGGGCCGAGAAAATGTTGAAAAAAGAGCCAAAAGTTGATGATTTAGTTTTGTGTTTTATTGGACTTGCATGTAAACAACAGGGTGGTGTATAGTAGCTGTGGCTGTGTTGTTATGATTGGCCCTAAATCTATTTATAGAGAAGACATGTTGGTCATGCTTTTAGTTTGATATTTTGTCCTTAGATATATAAGAAAGGACAGAAAGTATAAATCAGGAGCCTAAACTGATGCAAGATCTCGTGTTTTTTGATCGATTATAAATATTTAATTATCAGTTTTTAAAGTTAGCTCACTAGCAGTCTGCTGCTTCTTCTTCATCTGTCCTTCGTTTTATGATACAAGGCAAAGACCACCGTTATGAACTCATGGTATTAGGATTTGCGTATCTTTGGCACAATCTGCATTTCCTTTTTAGAAAGAAAATCAAAACTAGTACCTCGTGACCCCTCAATACGCCCAACGATCAAAAAGTAAACACTAGAGTCCTTCTAATTACAGCAATACAGGCTCAAGAGGAAAGGTAGTAACAGTTATATCCTATAAAAACATGAGGCTGGAGTTGACGAGATGAGTTGAAAGAGACAAAGTTAACCAGGAGCTCCATGCTAGCAACGAAATGGAGGATACGGACGCAAGGAAGCAGGTCTGGGCCTGATACCGAAAGAACTAAAGGAGATTAGGAAGGACAGCAGCTGAAAGAGATCCGTGAAGAAATAAAACTGACACTACAATGAAGGAGGTGGAAAAGAGGATCGACACTCAGATACAAGGGACGGAAGGAGCGGTTATGGAGCTGCTGAAACTGCAGATATGACAGATTTGGAGGGACTCGAGAAGAGAGAACGTCAGAATCCACAGAGTTAAAGACGGAGAAGAGGCTGTAGTTTAATTCAGACTACAAACAAAATGAAAATAAACAAAATATCTAGTTAAATCTTCAAGAAACAAATCTGTCTGGTTTAACGAACTTTTCTCCATTAGCGCCAATTTCCACCTCATCCAGAACGGCTACGAAAAGGTTGTATCCTCCGATCGTAACCATTCAAGTTAACTTGTCAATGTCCACCGACTTCTTTCCGTTCCTCTGCGGATCGCCGGACTTGGAAGGACACAATCTACTGCTTATAAGGTTAGCTTATGTGGCTAAGAGACAACTCATTATTGCACGTGAAATTGCGATTCCTGCTGTCCGTAATCCACCACAAAATTCTTCTAACAAACAGATCTGGTAGGATCCTCCTCGACTGGTATCAGGTCCAAACTAACGACTGAAAACACCAAACCAGACTTTTTAAAAACTATTTCTGGTTTCAAACATCATCTTATCTTTCCACATGAAGCTCCGTCTCTGCAGGGATCCTGATGTCAGATCTAATCTCAGGATTTTAAAATCTATTAACGCCCGTCAAACTTGAGCAGGTTTAAGAAATCCTCCGACCCTCCGACTGTCGTCTGTTCTAACCCAAACATGTACGAAGGCTCCGAGACCCTCAGGCGGTAAATCAGAGGGTTGTGTTTACAAGCTCTGACGTAAAAACGAACAAAGTTATCCTCCTTCAATGAAGCAATAATTAAAAGTAAGTGGTTGTCAATAAAATGCACCATGAGTTTTTACAGTGAGCGGCTTCATTTACAGTCCTGATGTCAACAACCGTCCACATCCTGTTTGATGAGGAGGACGAGGAGCTTGTACAGGCTGCCGCTGTCCCGGCGCCACCGAGCAGACAGACAGTGAACTGTGGCTGCTAAATGTTAATGCGCTATTAAACGCGCTGCAAATTACACAGAAACCCTCCGCCGCTGACACGGGCGAGGAGGAGAGAGCGGCGCGGATTTACAGCTTCACGGCGGCACGCTGAACTTCATAAAACATATTATGTTTGAAAATGAACACAGGCGGCGTTTATCATCACAGCCCTACAGCGAGAGAGAGCGCGCACACACACACACACACACACACACACACACACAGACTAATGTGTTTTACTCTGAGATGAGCAGTTTGATTTCCAGACGGACCCTCTTCCAGTGGAGTCACACTTTAAACACGTTTAACCCCGAAAGCTCGGAAACCTCCAGACAGTTTACTCGCTGAAATTTAATGTGTTTACAGGAGGAGAGAGTCAGCTTCAAGTGAAACTGCAGCTTTTGGACTTTCTGCTTCTACGTGTGCAGACCGCTGCTGCGATAATCTACAGAGACTGTTCTGTCATCAAATTTCTGCAGTTTTTATGGAATAATCTGGATTATTGAGCGCAGAGTCGTCAGCAAAGAAAGACGCTGACTTTAGAGTTTGAGAGTTTTTCACTGCAGCAAAGTCAGCAAAGATCACATCGACATGTTTTCACTAAAAAGATCCTGCAGGTCTTTGACATTCAGATTAGTTTAATGTCGATTTCATCAGAATCTTTTTAAAGTCAGACGACTACACTCGACCTCTTTGTTGAGCTGCTGCTGCAGACGGGGTCAACTCTGACATGTCTTTTAGTTCATTTTAATAAAGTTTAAAGTTTTTCTGGGAATTGTCACTGAAGTCGACTCGAACCAACACATGCACATTCTTTAACCTGCAGCACTGTGATCGACTTACCGATCCTGAAACATACGATCAACCTCACATTAGTAGTAGTAGTAGTAGAAGTAGTACAACACCAAATATTGTCCACAATATTGACATTTCTCACAAAATCACTAAATTAAGAATCATGAGTTGAATACTGACAGAATCAGACTGATTATAGAAGTCTATCCTGTGTTGTCAACTTTTTAGTCTACTGACCTCCAGAAAAGCAAAGAAAACACAACAACAGAGAATTATTCGCACTTATAAGCTTCAAAAATATCTTTACAAACTATTTTCTAAAAAAACAACAAAGAAGGACATGTTTTTAGATTTATGTCGGCATCATTCCAGATTTAACTCCAGTAACAGAGACACGCCTCCTTTTCAGACTTTTTTAGCTTTTTGTTCAGTAAATTTGCAAACACCTCTGAGATTATACAGACTGTCCTGAATTAAAAAGAACCTCTGTACTGAGTCAGGGAGTGTTTCCTCCTGAATTAGTTTCCATGGTGACGGGTTGATACCGCCTTGTGGTTTACTCTTCATCTGAAACTGTGAAGTCGTACCAATTCAACACGACTGATGAAATTATCGCCTTCTTTTGCAAACGGCATGTTTGTTTACACTGGTGTGTGTGGGAACTGGAGGAAGGAGGAGCCTACGGTGGCCTGGAGGGGCGAGAGACATGATAGAGAGGAAAATCGATTTGAGGATTTAAGTTTTTTTAATATCCTAATAACCAAATAATCTGATTATGATTTTAAATTGATTAATCGTGCAGCCCTAACTCAGAGCACAGAAATATTTTAATATCATATAGCACCTCGATTTGAGATTATTTTAATCAACGGTCATGACAGTAGAGTTTCTTATTTCCAATAACAAAATGCATTTTGATAAGATTAACATATGGATTAAACTTTCTCCTCTCAGCTTTTTCTTTCTTAACTTCTGAAAACTGAAGAGAAACTGAGGGTCTTAAAAATAACAACAGTTTCTGCTAATAAAACACATTTTAATTATTGTATCTCATCTTTTTATTATTCGTCTACTTTTTTGTCACTCACCTAAAAAGAAACAGAAATAGTCATAGTCTCTGTACTTAAAGTTTCACATTTATCTGAATGTTCGCGCCTAAAACCAGCCCTCGTTTCTCCTCGTTACTTTAACATTTGACTTCTATTTTGTCGATTCACTAAACATTAATATCAGAATGTTTTTTTTTTCTTCTCTACATTGTCAAACACACTTTCAGAGGCATTTCCAGGCGACGTGACAGGAGCATGATTTCTCGTGTTCGAGGAGGGCAGCGCAGCGCCTCCAGGGACAAACAAATGAAGACGTTTGGGAGCACCTTTGTGCAGACTAAGGAAATATTTACTGCTGCTTCAGATTCAGCAGCATGTGGGGGAAACCACCAAGTATTCATTTTTAATTTCATATTCATAGAGCATGTGTTTTGCATTCACATGTGGCTTTGTGCAGAAGAGGAAAACATCTGAAGAGGCTGCAGATCGTTCCGTCCCTCTGATTGTTTGTCTAGGAGGAGCTCAGGTCAGGATTTGGTTTCTTCTGCCATCTCTGTGGAGGTGACGCTGGTGTGATTCAGGCAGTTTCAGGTTCCTGTGGTTTTTAGTGTCCAGCCCAACAACTTGAAACTACCTACATCACACAGCTCCAGTCTGGATCCAGACGCTCGACTCACGATGACGGCAGCGTCCAGACTCGTCCTGAGTTTCCCACAGAGTTACGAAAGGACAAAAACATCAGACCAGAGAGGACGGAGCTTTTCAGAGGAGTAAACCCACCATCAAAACTAAACCGCAGTTCCTCAAGTGTCCACTAGAGGCTGTCTCTAAAAGTGAGTCAATCCCCATAGAGCCTCATGTTAATAAACACAGAGTCTGAAATTATTCTTAATTAACTCTGATCAAATAAACTCTCCTAATGTTGGATTTTTGCATCAGATTTTAAAGCTATTGCAATAAGTTCAACATTTTTACTTTAATATTTCAGTACGGATCAAAGCTCGGGAGCATTAAAGGGAGTTTCTGCTTTTTTCAAACCCTGGAAATCAATAACTGATCAGATCTGTCGTTTAGCCTCATGGATCTCAAACTTAAGTCACAATTCAATTAAACTAAATAAATAAAATCATAGATATAATGTCAGGGGCACAACTCCTCTTTTTACTAAATAGTATAGTATCAAAAAGTTTTTTCACATTGTTTCCTCTAATTAAAATTTTTTAGTTTTAAAGCTCCTGTAAGGGATTTTCTGTTAGTTTTGATTTTGGCGCCCCCTGTTGACAAACCTTTAACCTTGTTGGCTGAAAATGATGTTTTCAGGCAGAAATCTCCTCCTGCTGTATTTAACAGTGAAGAAAATCACTTAAGGGAAATTTTTAGATAAAAGTAAAAAAGTTTATTTTAGTGAGCTGTCAATCATCTGGGTTAACACCGCCCACTGCAGCAGTTTACCATTTTAAAAATCAAAATATTTAAAAGTTTTTGGTCTTTTGTAGGATGTAGAAAAAAGAAAAAAACATTGCTGCATATTTGTCTTTTTTAGCTCTTCACTGAACCTCCTGTCAAAGATTTTCTGTTTGTGTTGACTTTGGCGCCCCCTGTGGACAAAGCTCCTCATGTCTTATTGTGTTCAAAGCTATAGAACAAAAACACTGTTTGAAATTAAGCGCTAAAATGTCGTAAAAGCCGTTTTCAATCACTTCGCCTGGTAACTTCCTCTCCGTCAGATTATTTACCGTATTTTTTGGACTATAAGGCGCATGTAAAATCCTTTAATGTTCTCAAAAATTGACAGCGCGCCTCATGTATGATTACTTGTTGTGCTTACTGACAGATTTTTATGCTGTACAATGCGCTCAAAAATCTGTTGGAATATGCAAGTACGACTTCGGTAAGCAACGTAGCCTTAGAGACAGTTTTAATCTGTTAAAAAACTCCCAACTGGAGCTTTAAGCTGCGATGTCCTTTACAGAAAAGTCGTTAAAGGCAGTTTTGAGTATTTTAAATGATCTTTAACATCGTTTCTACGCCAAACTTTGAAACCGTCTTGTTCCTGTTAACGGGCACATTGTTGTATTTATCTGAATTAATTTTAACTGCGGATGTCGCTCATGAAAAACACATTTTGGCGCCTGAAATCACTTTCCACTTTTCTGTTTTGCATCACCTGAAAGATTACGAATGCAAATCTGCGGTAATTGAGTTAGAGTTTAAAAGTCGGGCACGGATAATAAGTCAGTTTAAGGTTTTATGAGACAGATGCGGGGCTGGAAGTATCGCCGTCCTCTGGTAATAATCAAATGATCAGAGTTCATGTGACTGAATCCAGCAGCAGGAGGTCAGAGCGCCGCAGTCAATCTTCAGTAACAAGTAAAATCCCTTCAGCACCGGTTTCTGCTCGAGGTAATGAATATCCAACTGTGTGAGCCTGACAACGTGAAGGAAGTTTGGAAACCTCTGAAGAAGAAGAAGAAGAAGAAGAAGAAAGTCCACCATACAGAGAGAGAGAGAGAGAGAGATGGCCTGAGGTCAGCTGGCATATTCAGAGGAATTCACTTCATAACGCACGTCAGGGGATGATTTCATAGATCATCTTCACTAGAACTAAAAACAGCATCTTATTTAGACAGGCGAGCATGTGGCTCTACGCAACAGACGATCAGGAGCAGAAACAGGAAGTCCATATATGTCCTCACAGAGTCTGAGTTTTCAGACACAGTAAACGATTCATCAGAGTGAAAATAATCAGCGTTAACTTCGCTCCGCTGTGTAAATCAGTCTGATGGCGAGTGTCTCTCTGCTTACTGTCGAACACGTGGCTCCGAGCGCCCTCACGGACGCCACAGTCACTCTCCACGCTCCAGTTTCTCTTTGCTGGAGGATTTCTGACATCTGTTCCGAGCTGTCGTTTCTTATATCGCTGTCATTTCTGATGTGAGGAAACCCAGAGAGAAGAATCGAACTTTACGGTCCCGCTAACTTAGATCGGAAATGTTGGTGTGCAAAATTTCAAAATGTGGGCGTGTTTGCTGCAGTACCCTCACCTGGACTCGTGACCATCACCTCCAAATACAGATACTGTCATTTAACTGTTTGGGTTTACTTACTTTAAAACGGAGTTACATGCTGGTGCGCCCCCTGGTGGCGACTGCTTCCTCCCCTGAGCCTGTTTGACATTGTGCGACGGTACGATAAGCTAAGACGGCGTCTGTACTAGATCGGCTCGGGGCCCGGCGCTTATTGATGACGTCATGCTCTATGATTGGCTGGAAGTTGATTCGGATGACGTTCTTTGGAGAAATCATAGACGAATTTTACGCAGAAATCTATCGCTACTTATCTAAGGGGACTTTCGACAGCGGGACTATCGCCTCTTTTAGGAAATGTGGAATAAAAGCAAAACTATTGATTGGTAAACGGAGATCCTGTGTACAATTAGTTTTGTTTTTCCTTTAGAAAAGTTTACATACACGATTAAAACCATCTAAAAATTACAGTAAGTTGTAATTCTCTGTGTTACAGGGTTCCTACACAGTTGGAATTTCCGAACTTTTCAATCCCCTACTATAAGAATTATTTTTGGAAAGATCAACTTTTCTATTTTAGAAAACAGTTTTTTTTTTACTGTGGTAAAAGTCTGGAAACCTAAATATTTTTCCATACTTATTTTTTTATTTACTGTACTTTTTAAAGACCTGGAAGTTGATCAAATTACGTCCATACTTTTCCATACTTGCGTAGGAACCCTGTATGGAGGTCAATTAAATGAACAAACGGGAATAAAGGAAAACCGTGAGGTGCTTTTAACCGAGCACATTTGACTTATTAAATGGAGCGCAATCTAGTTTGTCCGAGTGGACCTGCCGTAGTGCGACGTCTTCAACAGGCGCTGGGCCCCGAGCCGATCTGGTTCCTACACCGGCTCTGCAGCAACAAGATTATCCGATACATTAACATAAAAATCAGTTTGACTCGCAGTCGTTAGCCAGGAGACGAATCCTTGAACCACGGACCATCGCTCTGAAATCTGGATGTTTGATTCGTTGAGCTCAGGATGTTCTGGTGGACTTCAGTTCACTTTGGTTCAGTAGATCCCGGTGCTTGAAGGTGACTGTAGGAGCCAAAATATATTTGTTTAGTTTGATTTCTAATAAGTACGTCACCTCTGGGGGTGGTCACTGAGGGGCGTGGTTTTAGGATGTTTGGCGGGTTATTTAAATCTCACCGCTGTAGTCAGACGATGGGTTTTAGTGATCTCTGATAATGTCCTGTTGCTGTTTCACTCCTCCTGTTTTAACCTCATTTCATCTCATCACTTTCTCATTCAAAGGCAAAAGTTTTGGACGCGGGTCAGCATGTTTTCTTTTCTTTTTCTGAACAATAAATCACTTTTTTTTACACTCAAACTGGACTGATAACTGAACGAGTCACTGATGCAAGCGAACCTAAACCCCAGCAGCCTTTTTGTTGACGGAGAGCCGTCGCTACAGTTATTGATTATTGGATTTGTTGGTATATTAACAGATCAGCCAAGATGACAGAAAATGAAAAACTGAGGACTGGATCTTCTTGTTCTCCTGGAGAGACTCCACTTCATTTTTCATTCATTTGTTTAAATGTTAAAAAATAAAAATCATTTAAAGTCATGTCGCACGGCTCTCTGTTTCAGCTTCATGTGAACTTTAGTTAATCTGGCTGCAGGATAGTCATGCTAATCGTGAAATAACATCATCAGGTTACAATAAATATTCCATCTTACAATCTCCCTCTCCCTCAGCAGACATCTCTGTGCCCCTCTCTCTGATCAGCTGATGACCCTCACTTCCTATAACATGATAAAGTGTTTCCAGATACGAGTACAAGTGCACAGAAAGGAGGATAAAGAATCATGGTGGGTCAGTTTGCTTGGAAACTCAACAGAAAGATGCAAAAGAAGAAGGTACTGGTCAGTTCTTTAGGTACAAGGAAACACAAATAATTGCACACCTATCCAGAGCAGACGGATACGGTCACCAGAGTCTCAGTTACTGCAGCTGAGAGTAACCAAAGAGGCCAGATTTGGTTTCTGAAAGCTGAAGGGATAATCAGGAGGGAGCAGGGGGGGACGCCGAGACGTGAATCAGAAATGTAGAGAGTAATAATAAAGATTTACTGATGGATAAGAGGAGAACTGCTGCTGAGTTTTAAACTGAGTTGGTAAAGTTTGTGCAGCTGAAGGTAAAATCCAGAGTTGATGATTGAAGGAGAACGACACGGACAGGAAGGAGCAAAGAAAGCAGACTGTCCAGGAGGCGCAGAGCGTCCTTTGGAGTGTCTTTTGTTGACCACCAATAGGCAATAAGGGGCAATAAGGCCGCCGTAAAACCACACAAGGTACAACAGCCTCCTCCACTTCCTCCAACCACCAATAAACTAGTTGGTCAATTACCCCTGTGGTAAAAAGTGAAGGTGGGAGAGAGAGAGAGAGACAGATGGAGGGAGGAGGAGGAGGAGGAGGAGGCAGACGGGACAGAGATGAGGCAGGAGACAGCATGGCGCTGAAGAAATGTTGCTCTCAACATGGCGCCTGCAGTCCTGCAGCCCGGGAACGGACACTCCGTCCACCCTCCCTCTTTTATTACCTTTCCTTTCTTCCTCCATTTCCTCTCCTTG